AAAAAAAAAAAAAAGAGAGTGACAGAGACAAAAACAGAGAGGCAGAGAAGAAAAAGAAAACACTGGGAATCACTAATTAATAAGATGGATCAAAAAAGTTCCTCTGCATTGCACTTAAATCCCTGTGTACCAACACCATTTTGACCATGGCCAACCTTATCTCCTACAAAAACAGAAATCCTCCACTCCCAACAATTTAATCTCTTTATTGACATTAAACTTCCAGCTTAATGTTTCCCACCCGCCAGAATCCCCTTACCTTCTAACAATCCAAACCCTACTGCTCTATGAAGGCATGCCTTCACATCTCCTTCTATCTTCCTATAGATTTGTAGTCTACAGAAGTCATTTGATAGGGGCAACTGGGTGGCTCAGTCGGTTGAGCATCCGACTCTTGGTTTCAGCTTGGGTCATGGTCTCAGGGTGCTGGGATTGAGCCTCATGTGGGGCTCCACACTCAGCAAGGAGTCTGTTTGGGATTCTCTCTCTCCCTCTGCCCTCCCACCTCCGCTCCCACATGCTCTATTTCTCTCTCTCATAAATAAATAATTTTCTTTAAAAAAAAAAATGGCACAGTCGGTTAAGCATCAGACTCTTGGTTTCGGCTCAGGTCGTGATCTCAGGTCATGAGATCAAGCCCCATGTCAGGCTCTCCGTGGAGTTCACTTGAGACTATCTCTCCCTCTGCCCCTCTCTGCCACTCTCTTTCTCTCTCAAGTAAATAAATCTTTAAAAAAAAATTGGGGTGCCTGGGTGGCTCAGTTGGTTAAGCGACTGCCTTCGGCTCAGGTCATGATCCTGGAGTCCCGGGATCGAGTCCCATATCGGGCTCCTTGCTTAGCAGGGGGTCTGCTTCTCCCTCTGATCCTCCCCCCTCTCATGTGCTCTCTCTCTCAAATAAATAAATAAAATCTTTAAAAAAAAAAATTGTCCTGAATGTGTCATCCTAATGATAAAATAAAATAAACAATTATAAAAGCACTTTGGAAGTGTCAAGGTTTTATTTTCTAAATAGCTTTAGGTTATAAAACAACAACAAAAATCAGTAATAAACAATTGATGCTAGCACAAACCAAATGACAATCTTTAGGGATGCCCTATCTGGAAAATACTTTTTTTTCCCAAAAGATTTTACTTTTTTATTTACTTATTAAGATTTTTTTTTTAAATTTATTTATTTGACAGAGACACACAGCAAGAGAGGGAACACAAGCAGGGGAAGTTGGGGAGGGAGAAGCACACTTCCCACCGAGCAGGGAGCCCGATGCGGGGCTCGGTCCCAGGACCCTGGGATCATGACTGAGCTGAAGGCAGACACTTAACAACTGAGCCACCCAGGCGCCCCTGGAAAATACTTTTTCTGAAAACCCTTGGATTATTGTCACTCTCCATAGCAGCATCTTCAAAACAATGTTCCTTTAATTTAGAGTGGATTTCATTTCTGAGTTTTTGAGTTATTTGGCCGTACTGGGAAAAGTTTTCAATTAGCAATAATCGCACCTCAGATAAACCTCATTGGCTAGGATACCGCCACTGCGCAAAGCTATTTGGTCCTACTGTCTAGAAGATGGAGAAATACCCAAATACTATAAAGCTTAAAAAGCCAAATTAGACTGGAGACATTTTAAATTATTTGAAAATAAAATACCATTTTCTGCAGGACACTCTTTAAAAAATTTATTCTATTTTAAATTTCAGCTGAATTTTAAACATACGATCTTCATATATATAAATACATGCTTTTAAGTGTGTAATACTTTATTGTTGACTATACTTATAATGTTGCTAGACACTCTTAAAAGACCCTCTCCTTACCCATCACTAGTGGTGGAACACATCAGTGTAAGCTGAAAACAACTTAATGGACATTTGTTAAGATGTCTTCAAGTTTATGGGCTTTTTAAAAAGCATTTTAAAAGTTTAATCATTTCCACTGTTGAAAAGCAATGAAAAACTCTATGCTAAGATGTAATAAAAGTATTTAGTTTCCAGGTATACTTTCTTTTATTTATTTATTTTTTTTTTTTTTTAAGATTTTATTTATTTATTTGACAGAGAGAGAAAGCACAAGTAGGCAGAGAGGCAGGCAGGGGGAGAAGGAGAAGCAGGCTCCCCGCTGAGCAAGGAGCCTGACGTGGGGCTCAATCCCAGGACCCTGGGATCATGACCTGAGCTGAAGGCAGACGCTTAACCGACTGAGCCACCCAGGTGCCCTCTTTTTTTTTTTACTTTCTTTTAAAATAATATTTAAAGTCCTGAAAAATGGCAGAATGGTGTGATGCAAAAAAGCTTGAGAATGAGAGATCTCAGTTACAATAGTAATGGCTAATATTTATTTAGCCTCCACTTCATATAAGCCATTACAATAAATGCTTTACATTAATTATTTTGTATAATACACATGTTAAGCTAAGCAGACACTATTATTACTAGCATCTTTGTCATCCCCACCATACAGTTCAGACGCTGAGTTTTGAAAGATAACAAGTCCAAAGTCATAAATGGTACAGCAGGGACTCACACCCAAGGGTTCCTGCCACTTGGAAGTGGCACCGGTACATAGTTAAATCCTTGCTCTTAACTACTACTTGACTAATCTGGCTTTGTGACTTTATGCAAGTTCCATATCCACCCTGGGCCTCAGTTTCCTCAGCGGTAAAAATAAAGCAGGAGTGCTGAAGTTCCTTCCAGTTCTGTCTAGCTTCAATATTGTCAACCTTACATCCACTCTGAGCTTCAAACAAGCCAGTGTCATTAGTTCTTTTATTGAATTCAACTACAACAGCATTTACGACGCACCTCCTAGGTGTCCGGCCTTGTGATGGGCAGCAGCTCAAGCCCAGGTCCCCCACCCTCTCTGCTCCCGCGCCCCTGGGTGCCAGCAGGGCCCCTTCCCCTCGCAAATCCCCGGGGCCAACTGAGGTCTTTTCCACCCCGAAGCCCCTCCAGCACACTCCCGCCTCTGGGCCAGCCCCAGCTCTGGTTCCGGTTCTACTCACCCTTCAGGTGGTCTCCGCTGCTCTGCGCCGTGACACCCCGCGTCCCCGCTGCCCTGTCCCCCACAGGGGTCGTGTGGAGTGCCCCCGCCTGCGATCGTTCAGAGACTCTGCCTTTCGCCATGGCTGCTGCAGGGAAGGTGGAGGAAGAGGGGTGATGCCGCCCCCCTTAACAACAACTCTGCCGCAGGCTCCTTACAACACCCAGGGGCCACAGCCACAGCCACTTCCGGGGCGACCACCTCACCTGAGACGACCTCAGCCCCGCGAGCACAGTGACGCTCCGCTGAAACCTACAGCGCCCACTCAGACTAGGTTCCGCCCCGCCCCGCCCCCAAGCCTCGCGCGCTCACGCTCGCCCAGTAACCGCGAGACAAGTCAGGGTCCCGGCCCTCCCCATTCACTGTCCCGCCCCTCCTCGCGACTGCAGGGAGCATGCGCAGTCGCGGCACCGGAGTCCCTTGATGTGGCGCAGCACGCAGGCGTCTAATGCGCAGCACGCAGGCGTCTAAAGCGCAGCTTTAATTATCCGGAAGTGCGGTCCCTGAGACTTCAAACCCTTTGTCCCGGCCGCCGGAAGTGCCCGCGAGTGATTAGTTGGCGTTTCGCGGCGAATGCTGATTCAACTTCAACAGTTCCTCAAGCTGCTGTCTTCGCTCTGGTGGGTCTAGGTGATGTCTGATCTGAAGATGTTGGAAAATACACAGCCTGAGTCGAACGTACCGAGTTTAAGGAAAGTTAAGGCTCAGCGAGGAGCTATAACCTGTGAAGGTCACAGGGTGGCAGAAATGGGTTTAGAAACTTTGCCTGTTCATCACCCTGCCGCCCCTCACTAGTAAACCCAGGTCAGCTCATTTAGCTTTTCCTTTTGCTCAGCCCAAATGTGCCGGTTTTCACTGTTAACTTTTTGCACTCTGAAATCTCGGAGCAGTATTTAACTTACTCATTGGTGAGTGTATTGGAATTCCCTCTTGAAAGCAACTTGGCAGTCTATAAAAATACTGTGTTCCTATCCAGTAATTACATTTCTAGGAAGCTGTTCCATGGAAATGAGAATACAGAGGGAGTTATTCCTAACAGCATTATTTATTAGTATAATGGTAAATTATAAAACCCAACACCTAAAGAATGGTTGAGTAAATTATGAGAGATTATTCAAGGGAACTGGTTTATGTACACAACCTCTGCCTACTTATATTAAGACCTTCAGGGATCACTCGAAGAGGTAGCTCCCCATTTTATTAACTTCATGGTCGTCATTAAAAGCAGTAATTATTTGGATTCTTTGTTTATTTGTTCATTGTCTGCCACCTCTACAGTGTGAGCTCTACTAAGGTAGGATCTTTTTGTTCACCATTGTATCCCCCAGCAGCTGACAGAGTGCCAACACCTTAAGTAGGCATTCAGTAAATTCACTACTAAATTTTCAACCATAGGAAGTGATATTTATGAAAAGACTAATAATGTGGGCAATACTTATTCAAAAATAAAATCAAAGAAGTATAAAAAACAAAAATATTACATAAGCATGTAAATTTATATTTTTAGGATAAAGTCTTTTGTTTTTATTTTTTTAATGTAAACTCTGTGCCCAACTTGGGGCTCAAACACAGGACCCCATGAAAAGTCACATGCTCCACCAACTGAGCCAGCCAGACACCCCACCAGGATAGAGAGAGTCTTCAGTAAAACAAAAGTACATTTAAACATTTGATATATTTTACTACATAAAAAAAAAAAAGTAAGTATAACAACAACAACAAAAAAAAACCTTCCAAACCTAGGAATAGACAGTAAAGATATTGCCACATATATAAGAATTACTACAAACTGGGCTTCTGGCTGACTCAGTTGGTAGAGTATGTATGTGACTCTTGATTTTGGGATCATGAGTTCCAGCCCCACGTTGGGTGCAGAGATTAATTAATTTTAAAAAAATTTTTAATTACTTTTTTTTT